GGACTTCCTCAGTGTGACAAGCAGTAATACAAGTATTCAGCTATTCATTTTTTCCCCATAAAGCATACCTCTGGGTTTGAACTGTCCCAGTTAGACAGGGAAATCTAACACTTCGCAGAGTTGTAGGAAGAAAAAAAGTAAACACTACACACAAGTCAGATACCCTACCACGCCAAAAAGGAAATTGGGGCAACAGGGGGAAGTAAGCCAACACTTCTCTTTTTAGAGGTTCTAATTTCTGCCTGTTGAAGCATCAGCCCATTTCAAAACAAATCTCTCTGTCCAGATTTTGAGGACGGAGCATTTTTGCCAATTTTGCTACTTTCTAACTTCCTTGAATTGTTTGCTTTATAAAATAGGCTTCAGTGAAGTGCAGTTACATGTATTTAAACAAATGTCAGCTACTTCATGTGCAATTGGACAACCACATGCCATTCTACATTCCCATCTCCACTTTTTAACTCCCAATCACATTTTTCAGAGATGTTTATGAAATTGCTGCTATGTGCAGGTACCGGTTGTGGCCAATACAAACAGTAAGTGATGCAGACCTTTTTTACAGCTGATTGTGTAAATGTAACAGGTCCCACTTTAAAAAAAGAGGAAACTTTAACAAATGCTTGGGGAACATATTGTGCTTATTAATTTTACATGAAAAGCTAGAATTCCTTTCCTAGCCTGGCCAGTAGCAGATAGCCATCTTCTCTTTCTATATTGCTATCAATCAGAGAGATCTCAGTATAGGGCGCCGTGCAGGAAAAGTCAACTGCTGAAAGACAATCAGTTGTTTCCGTGCCAGCCTTTTTTCCCCACTTCAGAGCTCTGAGATATTGCCAGCCGTCATGGGCCTAGCAGAGTCCACACCTAGCCCTAGCATCACTGCATCAGGAGTTAGCAAGGGGGTTTTTTTAAAAGAAAGGAAAAAAAAAAAAAAAAAAGAGTTGAGAAAAAAGCAAATTGGAGGCGCTGGCAGATGCCCTTCTGAAAGGACAGTTTAAATGGCAGAAGAGCAAATGAGAGCAGTAGCTTCTCATCCCTGGCTGCCTCTGATTTTCAGACTTAGACAAGAGACGGTACCCCCCTTTTTTTAAAAAAAGAAAGGAAAAAAAAAAAAAAAAAGAGTTGCTGCAGGAGAAATTCAAGCCCGTTGTCAGAATGGACTGCATCTCTTCTTAGAAACATCCTTTGATAATAGGAAAGGAAGCGTCAGCAATTGGGCAGCAGTCCCCTCTTCAACCTGGTACTACTGAAACCCTCAAGACAAGCAGTAATCACCCCTCTCAATGGAAGGAACATTCACTTCAGTCAGCCGTTAAACCAACTTCACCAGCATGAAATTCAAGCCCGTTGTCAGAATGGACTGCATCTCTTCTTAGAAACATCCTTTGATAATAGGAAAGGAAGCGTCAGCAATTGGGCAGCAGTCCCCTCTTCAACCTGGTACTACTGAAACCCTCAAGACAAGCAGTAATCACCCCTCTCAATGGAAGGAACATTCACTTCAGTCAGCCGTTAAACCAACTTCACCAGCATGGAAAGCTTAAACACACAAGGACTCTACACACCAGACTTCTATCAATCAGCATGCCTTAAATTTACCTTGCTGACTTACTTTTGTTGGGCTGCTTTTCTGGAGGGTTATGAAGCTAAAATACCTGAAGAAAGGGCCCAACAAGCACAGCAGCCAGAGCATACGGTGGGGGGAGATGGGGATCTTTGGCCAGGGTGGAAGGAAGCAGTGCTGAACGTTAAGAGTATGAAGTTCCCTTTGTATTTTCAGAAGCAGCTGACATAATGCGACAGCTCATTGCAGCCAGAGGAAAGGACTTATTTCTCCCCATCCCCAGCTTCTGGCCCTGCTTTTTTCTCGTATCAGACCTGATACCGTTGGTCTTCCTCTGTCTCTCCACTACCAGCCAAACCTGCTGCTTCAGTGCGCTGAATCGCCCCACAGATGGGCACAACCAGCACCAGAACTGGTGCAAATAAGAAGGGTGGTAATAGGACTACACAGCGAAATGGCGGGGGGAAGAGGGGGATGGCAGGAGCAGTCCGACCACAGGGCTGTGGTATTGCAGCAACCCACTGGGCCTCAGGAAGTTGCACTTTAAATTCCCGGAGACTAAGAAGAGAGGGTATTTTGGAGAGAAAACAGAAACAATCTGCTATCTGGCCACACATGCTGACAGCATAGCAACAGTTGTTTAAACGTCTTGCCCTTGTCACTTTTTGAATTTGAGCATTTTCAAGTTTATTTTAAGTATAAAGCATAGCAGCAAGAAGAGTTGGGAACACTGTGAGAAAAACCCAGCATCTAAACCAGGGAACTACTTTAGAAAAAAGATACAAAACGTCAAGCTAGTTTTGGCAAAGTACTGGGAAAAGAGGAGAGAGAGCAGTTAAAAATCTAACACACCATTTGCTTTTTATTTTTAATCAGGTATAATAAATGTACACAAAAGGATGCATCAGCATTTTTGTTCATCTTAAGTATATGAAATGGTAGGGAAAGTAGATACATGGCATGAGTGAGGTCAGAAGTATCGAGACTGGTTCGAAACATTTCAAAATGTCATGCTAACAAGATATTAAGGGAAGCTTTTAAAGCCATTGTGAACAGGGCTTGATTAATATCAGAGCTAGAATCCACACTACACACAAGTCTGACATGGACTGAGAAAAGTTATTTTCCTCACGTCTAATATATCCAGGAACTTCAGCTGTGAAGGCTACCATAGGGTTAGCACGATGCCATTTTCTCTGACTTTGAATGAGTTCATTGACTAAACAAATTATTAGACAGCAAGTGCAAACTGCTGCACTACTTTGTCATGCTAAATTCAATAAGGCTGAAGGAGATGCAGCAGCATTTGAGATATTAAAAACCAGTCTAGCACCAAGCAACTCCCAAAGTCTAATTCCATAACTGCCCTTTGGTGGATGCCTTTCGGGGGGCAGGAGAATGAAAAAAAAAAAAAAGAAAGGAAAGAAAATCACAGTATACTGCAATGAAAGTCACAAATGCCTGACACCCTGGATAAGTAAAAAAAGTTCTTCATTTCCTGACGCTACACACAGTTGAGATGTGAATTAAGACCAACAATTTCAAAGACAAGGACAACTTTCTACCCATTACAGTGTTTATGGGAATGTCACACTCCAGCATATTGGGGACTGTATATTATCAGGGTACTTTTGAAAAGCAGTCACCCTAAACAGCACACTGCCTTCTTGATCCTGCCAACAGTCCAATAACATATATGTTCAGTGCAGCACTGCACTTCAGGAGTATTTTTAAGTGCCCTCAAGACAAAAGCCTCTTCTACAGCTCTCGTCAGCTACGCTAATGAATTCTCCTCATCTCCCTTACAACACACACATGGCGAAAGGTTATTCCAAAAGAAGAGGTTCATTTACATACCTCACCAAAGGGATCCAGGAATTAGACTTTTTGCAGTGCTTTGAAGGCATAGCAAACTGAGGTTGGAAGTTTTCCCAGGCTGAAATGTGTATCTTATCTTTCTCTATCTTTCTGTAGCACTTGCAGGTGTTCTTAACTGGCCTAATTCTGCTCCTCCTGAAATCAGTGAAAACTACTTCCTGGGGATCACCAAAGCCAACGTTAAATGCCTCAACAAAGCTTTGCAGTAAGAAAAAAAAAAAAAAAAAAAAAAAAAAAAAAAAAAAAAAAAAAAAAAAAAAAAAAAAAAAAAAAAAAAAAAAA